AAAGCAAAGCAAAGCCAGGCAGCAGCCATGATGGCGAGAATGGCCAGCGACGGTGATGATGATGATGATGACGAAGACGACGGCGACAAGTACAAAACACGTATTAAGTATGCATGTGTAGTATGTATGTACTTGTGTATGTGTGTGTGTATTGGAGATTCGCATGATTCGTGCAAATTCGCCGCATAGTTGCCCTGTTGGTATGTTGTTTGCTCTTGTTGTTGTTGCTATTTTATTCGCATTCGCATATCGTTTAAGTACGCGCGCCTGTGTTTGTGTGTGTGTGAGTATCTGTCATGGGCCGCATGAATTTGTATATGACTGCGTGTGCGTATGCATGTATATGTGTTGGTGTGCGTTGGGGTCGTCGTCGTTCATATGTTTTTGTGCTTGTTGTTTGGTCGGTTTTGATTCGGTTTTGGATGGATGATATGCTTTGGCTTTGCCTCTGTTGCTGCTGCTGTTGTTGTTCTTGCTTTTCATCCATCTACATTCGCGTACTCTCTATCTCTCTCTCGCTCTGTCTCCCATTTGCTGCTTGACTCTCGCGCGAACAACGACCGGTCATGCATGAGTGTCAGTGTGTTTGTATAAATATGTATATCTATATATGCATGTATGTGTTTATGTATACATGTGTGTGTGTGCTCTTGCTTGCTGTGCTTCGATGAATTGTTGTTTGCTTCAGTTTTTTCTTCTTTTTTCGTCATTGTCGTCGTTCTCATTTGCACGTCACGTAAAAAAAGCGCGTTTGTAGTTTTTTATTACAGTGGTTGTCATCGCTCGCAGCATTAAAAATTATCACATATTTAAATTGCTAAAAATATTAGCATCAGCAACTAAAATGTCTATTTTTTACATGATCAAATTAATAAAATTATATTTCTGCTATTATTTTGACTTAATAGATTAAATTATTTGCCTAAATTAAAATTATTTTTGAAAATGCTCACAATAATATATTATTTGATTCATTCATTTAATAAATGCACTTAAGCTCTTCGAATGATGCCCATTGAAATCGTTAGCTTAATTTGTTTTGCGACCACTGTGCCTTAATTTTTCGCCGCAGCTCCAACAACCCAACACTCACACACACAGGCAGACGAAAACCCAAAACTCAAATGCCTGACCGGTCCTCTCTCTCTCTCTCTGTCTTACACCCACCACTCTCTTCTTTCACTCTGTCTCCCTCTCTCTCTCTCAGATGCAGGCGTAGTATGCTGTTGGGTAGGGGTTGGGGGCGACACGTTGTTGTTTGGGGCGCGTGTGACGTTTATTTTATTTCTCTTTTTTTTTTTTTATTTTTTTTTTACTTTTTTTCGTACACACTTCGCCCAACCAAAAAGAGTTGATTGAAATTATTTCAGCTCTGGGTGTATGTGTGTATGTGTTCGTTTTTCGCTCAATTCATACGACTGTGTATGTGTGTGTGTGTGTGTGCTCGTTCATTTTTATTTGCTGGCTGAGTGACTGACTGCTGGCAACGCTTGTATATATATATATGTATATACATGTGTGTGTGTGTGTTTGTGTGTATCTGCTTTTGGTTAAAGATACATAATTATTTCTAAAAAGCATTTTCTGCCTTGCCATTGTTGTAAATTTCTCGAAATTTCACGTTTCGCCTGTGCATAGCATTCGTATTCGCATTTCATTACCGCACCCAACTTAATTAACAAAAAAAAATACAAAATGTAATAATAATAATCGACTAAGTACAAATTTTTATGTGTATGTATGAGTGTCTATGTTTATATATATATATATAGTTTGAACTCACCTCTCTGTGCTGCTAATCCATTGGAATTTTTGTTTGTAGTTTCTACGAAATTTAAACATTTTATGTGATCGAACTTTGTTTTTCTTATGTTTTTATAGTGTGTTGTGTGTTTTGCGTTTTGTTCGATTGACATGAGAGCGCGGCGAGGCGAAATCTATCGATAGTTATGCATGCAGCGCCATTTGCCTTTTGCGGACAGCGACGACGGCGACAACTTTGAAATGTGAATGATGATGACGATGAAACACACAATGACGGACGTTCCGAGAATGCGAATGGCAACAACAACAACAATGCTAATTCGAGTGTAGATACAGCGAAGCAAGAGCAAAAGCAGCAACAAAACACATGCGAAATAATAATTGTAGCATTGCAATAACAAACTCAAATATGCCTACAAGGCAAATTATAAAGAAGCAGAAGACAAATGGCTGAAAGTAGTAATAAACAGAAACTACAAATGCGCAACGATTGAGGCTGACTACTGCTTCGTCTTCTTCTTCCGCTGCTGACTGCTGCTGCAGCTTGAACACACACACACACACATACACAGATATGCGCGATAATTACAATTAAACATGGGGCCTAACAAAGAAATCGATAGATATTGCTGGAAAAAAATATACAGATATACATATATATGTGTTTGAAGAAGCAGACGTGAAAATGGTTTTGTGTAATTGGAAAAGGAAAACCAACCGTGGAAGTGGCAGCAGAAGCAGCTAAAAAGAAGTCATAAAAAAATTAAAAAAAAAAAAAAATGTTACAGCCGTCGCAGACGACGAGACTGCGACTGCTGCTGCTGTTGCTCTCGGCGCCATCAGCAACAACGACAACAGCAGCAAGCAGTAGCAGCAGCGGGTGCGACGGCGAGCGCATGAAAATTTACGCTCTCATCAATTGCGCGTAGTGCGAGAGAGAGAGCGCTCTAACAGCGAGTGCCCCGGCTAGAAAAACGTGTACCAGTATGTACATGTGACTGTATATGTGTGCAAAGGAGGTAGACAGATGACAGGCGGCAGAGCGCGACAGAGACGAGACAAATCAAATGGCACACAAGAAGAAAAGACAATGCAAGCAGCAGCAGCAGAAGCGCTGCTTCTACTACAGTAAACGCTCGATAATTACAATTATCAATCAAGTTTTACGTTCTTCAATGATTCAATGCCCCGAATTATTTTTAGAATTTTAAGAAACTGTCAACAAAAACAAAATAAATTATTTTCCATATAAGTTAAAATAATTCACTTAATAATGTTGTATTTAGACAATAGCATTTTAAGTACTTATAAACAGTTTTGGAAAACAAAATAAGATAATTTCATAATTTTGATTTTTAATTGAATTTAAGCTAGTAATATTTCTGTCGAAGGCTAGTACTTTGTAAAATAAATAAAATATAAAACATTCCAATTTAGACCGTTTAAAAAACACTAAATTTAAATTAGTGACCACCGTACAAGGAGAACAAAACTAGATTGCTGTGTCATTGCTGGGACTGCACACATATTTGCGGTAAATGGATACCGTTGCATGCAGATGTTCACGCGTAAAAATCAGTGAAAACACACACACACACATAAAGAGAAATATTTGACACTCAATATGAAATATGAATAGACCCTAAGACGAAGAAGCAGCAGAATAGCAGCACTAACAACAAAAGGCGTTCAAATGGACATTCACAGCGGGGGCGAACGCAAGCAGCCAGCATCTCGCAGCAGTCCCGACGCATTTTTGTGTGACTGCGCTGCTTGTTTTCGCAGCCGCTGCAGCATTTGCACAGGTGTGTGCACAATCTGCATGCGAGTGTGGCAACGCTGCAGCGAGAAGGACCAATACATACACAAAATGCTACCAGCGAAAAGTTTTTTGTTCCCTTTTTTTCGTTTTGAACATTGCAAAATCAACGCGCGGGACACACGCCACTCACAAACAGTGACAAGAACAACAACAACGGCAAATGTAGAAAGATGAAGCAGCGTGCACAAAGAAATGAAAATATAAATGGCGAACTCGCCTCGGCGAATAATTACAACAAGACATTTTATTGCACTCACACAAACACACATACGAACACATGCAAAGAGACCCCAAAATTGGCGAAAATCATTGTCGATTTTTCTCGCCTCTTGCAGCCAAAAATTTCTTCTTTATTCAATAGTAAAGAAAAAAAGAAATTAAAATAAACTTCGACTGCTGCCACCCCCACAAATTATAATAGCAGCAGCAAACGAAAACGTAGCCGACACACACACACACGCACACAAAGACAAAAAGGCATTATTATAATCAAACATCATCATCAAGCGAAAATCAAGCATCGCCGTCACACACATACATGCATACACATATACACAGTAGCAAATGCACAAAACTCACACATATGCACACAGGGAGAGAGAGAGACAGCGAGATCCATTTTTAATTATAAAAAAGGTGAACATGAAAATGTTTTTTGTTGTTGCGTTTACTTTGATTTAGATTCATATATTCCTTTTTTTGTCAAGTTATTGCAATTAGTAATTAACACATATACATTTAAACACACATCAAAATGCACTTGGCCAAATATAAAATTCGGAAAAAACAATTGAACGTTGACTGCGACGATGTCGGCGGCGGCTGCTGCTGCCGCTGCGGTCGTCGTCTCGCGAAATACATATTTCTTTTGCCGTTTTTCTCGTCGTTTAGTTGTCGTTGTCGCCGTCGTCGTCTTCTTCTTCTACTCTCGCTCTCTACTTCTTTCACATTTTTTCTTTTCGTTCTTCGTTTCGAGTGTCTGGCTTTTTGTTGGTTGTAGTTTTTGGAAAATCATATAACGTTTGAAATACGCTCAATATTCGTTTGGTTTTTAGCGCAACCGGTTGCCGGCAACTTTATGTGCATTTTGTTGTTACTTTTAATTAATTAAATCATTTATTTTTACCGTTTTACGCAAATTTTTTAGCAGCACTTTGTCAGACATGTACGCACCACATCAAAGACCTCCATTTTGTTTAACAGCGACTAGCGATGGCCGATATACCACTTACCAGTTACTCATCGAATACATATTTCTAAAGTAACGAGTAACTGTTGTGCTTGGGTACAAAAAAATACTTTTTACTCGATGAACAAAAATATTTCCAATAATTTTATAAAATGTAAGTATTAAATTTTAATCACTAATAAAACATAGCGGAAAGTGTAAAGAATATGTAATAAGGCACAGTTGTTTGTGTCGATAACATACAATCGATTATTATTTACCCTACAGGTATACTTTGCAAATTATGGTTAATCGATTAATTGAGGTTAGAAAGTCATTTGAATTTTATGAGATTTTCAGTCTTTTCTTCGCTGGACTGTTCTCTCCGTCTTCCATTTTTATCGCTAATGCATCCATTTCGTCATCGCTTTGGTTACTATCGGAACTATCGGAGAATACAATTGGCCCTTTGCTCTTGACAAACATTATCGTTTTGCCCATACGACGTGATTCGGCGCGCAAAAACAATTGACGGCAAAAGCGATCGATGGCATTTTTGCCTTGATCCTCCGACAGACCAAAAATAAATGCACTGCAAATGAAAATAAATTAAAGAATACAATTAATGTCTTGCAAAAAAAAAATGTACATGTACACATATAATAAATACAAATAAAATAAGTATAGTCAACATATATGTGAATATCGGAAATGTCGAACTCTTTATAAATTAATATAAATGTAAACACATAGAAAGAAAAACTAATAATAATATATAAATATATAGAGAGAAAAACTAAATTAGTTCGTGATATTTAATCCGACAAAAATAAAACCGATTTGGCAGCACAGTGCAAGGGCAAACAACAGACGAGATATACGTGTGGCGTTGCCAGAGTGCTTCATCAAATCGTAAACAATGATCATTCTGAGTTATCGCAATTGACTTACAGATTGGCAACATCGTAGGGTCCGCGTAATTGGAATTCGTGAGCAGCACCGCTGCTAAAAATCACATTCTTCGATTTTGCTTTAGTGAAGTAGTTTTGGGCTACCTTAATCATATCCTTGCGATTATTTGAGTCAGCAATTGCCGGTGCATATTTAAGTTCAAAGAACATGCCGCGTCGCACCGCAATCAAATAAGCCTTGCGGTGAACCAGCAAACGTGAACCGGCGACAGGATCAAACGTGATGATGTCACCATTAAATGTGGTGCAACAGTGCTGTAAATTACATTTTAGTTAACATGACAATTCATCAACTAAAAAAAAAATCAATCTGACAACTGCAATTTACCGTAAGTGCTGCATCGGTTTTTGGCTGGCCCGCAATCAGATTAAATTTACGCAGATTGAGAGAGACGCTCTAGAAACATATTGATTATTATTCATTTTTAATTATTTAGGACTCGACTTACTGCATTACCATTGCGTGCGACACATTCGCATCCACATACAAAATTGTTATGCGTTGCAATATCCGCAATTTTCCGGCAAATTCTTTGCGCAAATGTTCGATGCCAAATGGCTCCGGGAACATTTCAGAGCCTCTTTTGCCCGCCTCTTTTTTGCTGTGATCGAAACTCTGGTCGATTGCTATCGTTTTATAGCCTAGTTCAACCAGTTCCTCTAATATTGGGCGCAGCACTTTGTCATCTTTATTATATGGTATGCAAAAGTCATAAAAACCCTGCGTTTGCTCCATGTTTTTGTTTTGAGTTGCAAGCGCAACATGTGCATGGAAACAGGGCTGCTTTTTATTACTTACATCGATGAAACTACTCAAATGCAAACGTGCACATTATCGCACACAAAGCAATATATCGATTAATGCAATTCTGACAATCTCACATATGAACATTTCGATTTACATATTAAGTAATTTAGTTGACGCTTTAATATTTAATTTTTCAAATTGTATACATATTTATTGAATTTTCTTCATATCAATATTAAATAGAGTTCACCGAATAACCAGTCCAATATTTGAAAGAAACGTATCAAAACTGAATCATTTTCTTATATATCTTTCATTGTGTATTTATTATTTTATAAATCGGTGATCACATTTTGTGTCTAGATCTCAGATTTAAACAAGAATATTTGTAATAAATATAATAAAAATTAGATCATTTTGTTATGCCTTGCCTGTCGAAAGCACCAATATATCGCTCAGCCGGCTAGCTGTCGGGGTAGTTCGACCGCGATATATTGGGCGGCAAGTTAACAAAAAATTTGTATTCTTTTATAAATAAAAAAAATAAAAAATATTTCCGTCAAACCAGTCCGCTCGCTGCTGTGTTGGCTGTGTGGATGTTGTACAGCCTGCGTGTCCCTCCATTCCTTCTCCAAATTTCCTGGAGAAATTCCCTTTCACAATTATTCCTTTCTCGTTTGTTCCTTATGCCCTCATCTCACCCGATCACATTGAATTACCACCTCATATTTATTTTTTTCAGACTATTTAATTTACAACTCATGTGATACATGTGACATCGTGATCCCTAACATTTTGTTGGCCAACACTAAATTCGCTTATATATACTTAATACAATTTTATCTATCTACTTAATTTAAAGCTTACAAAATATTTATGATTTTTCTTTTCTTTTTTTATTTGGCTTCAAAAGTGCGCATCACTGAGTGACAAAATGAGCATCACTATTGCATTGGTTATGGCCGATTAGCTGTCTTTGGCTCACTCAGCCGCAGTTAGGCGGGAACAAACACTGATATAATCCAAGGCGTCTCAGAGTCTTCGGGTTTCGACTTCCTGGTTCCTGAGTCCAGTTGTCCCTGGCGATTTTTTCCTTGATGGCGGCGATGGATAGCTCCGCCTGTTGCTGTCGCCGGTTCGTATGTTTTTATTTTATTTATTACTTTTACTTTTGTTTCATATTTATTTATTTTATATTATCTTTTTTTATTATATATAATTACTTCATAATTTATTCATAATTAATTTATTTGAATTTCTTTTTAAATAAAGCTTTTTGCAGCTCATGCGCATGCGGTCACCTCTTTTTTTTCTCTTCTCTATTTTACTCAAGATGGTCCCCCATCGATATCCCTCGCCTATCGATCTATCTGCCGACCATTACAATTTCATTGGCGTTATATATCTTCAGCGATTTTTTATTTCAACCCATTTTTTTTTATACACATCTGTGAGCACAAGTTTTTATTACAGTTTATTTTATATAATCCCATATTTATAGCTAGTTTTTTTTACAGTTTCTTTTATATAATCCCATATAAATAGCTAGTAATTGTTAATATCTTTCATTAAATATTTTGTCTTTCATATGCTTATACATGTACTCTTGCTTATAATGCAGCTAAATCCACACAAACTTGGAACGCTGTTTTCTAACTTTTAGTAACTGACCTAGAATTGAGGGGGCACATTAAACCCAAGTCAGAATTGAGTGCCACTATCTTCGATGGATTTGCAGAGTGGCTGGACTCGAACTTGTTTCATTCAGCAGAAACGCATTCGAGTCCAGCCGATATTTGATTTTGTCTCGTGTGAATGCTGTAATAAATATATTATATAAAAAAATCCTGAAAGAATATGTTTATAAGTTATTCACGTTTTGTGCCTGGTCAATGCGTCCTTTCTGGCAAAGGATTTGCCACAGGTTTCGCAGCTATGTTTATTATCGCCGTGCGAGGCGGCATGTCGCGTCAAATTATCCTTGCGCTGAAACATTTGATTGCAGTCCGGGACTTCGCAGGTATATATTTGAACCGAGCCATGACTCGTTCTGGCAAAAACAGATTTATCAAAATATAAGCGATTAGTAAAAGCAATTGTTGACAACAACATTTGTAAATTACTTGTAGTGACGACGCAGCGTTTCCACTTTAGCAAACACTTTACAGCATTCGCTGCAGCCCCAGGAGATTGTCGGCTCATCCGGATCGACCTCCTTGTGGGTGTTCATGTGTCGCTTCAGTGCTGCCTTAAACCAGAACGCCTTGCCGCAACCATCTTCGCTACAGCGAAAACTCTTATTTTCATCCATTTTTATTTTATACATTTGATATATATCGATAGTTCAGTTCAGATGACGCCACGTTATACGGAGTGCTTTCTTGATTAAAAATAGCAACGCGTGACTCATTTAGCAGCTGGCATAGTTATATTCCATTGCTGTACCTATAAATAGTGTAATATTTTTTTTATTTATTTATATTTAATTGAAATATTTCAACATCCCAAATCCTGTCGCTTGCTATGCTTGCACCATACTAAACCATCTGCTTATTATTCTTGCTGCAGAAATTATTTCACATTAGATTAAAATTATTATAAAAGACAAAGCACAATATTTGTTTACTGTTATATAACAGTTTTATTTTTTTATACAATTTATTTGTTGACAAACGCTGGATTCACAATAAGTTCGGAGCTCGACCTCGCGAACACTGTCAGTCACCAGAAACAAACTGAACAAAAAAACCATGAAACCATCGAAAGGCCTTTCGCTTTTCGCAGAGGTCTATCGATACTAAAAATGAATCGAAAGGACTTTATTTGATTTGATGTTTTTTTTTTTTTGTATTTGCACAGAAACGCATAGGAACAACAATACAATTAATTTCCTACATGCACAAATTCGCTAGATTTAGTATTAGGAGAGATGATCGATTGTTGGCGAATTGTTATCGACCGGACGCGAAGCTGTTAAACGGGCATCGTTGTTATTCTCTTGCCGGAAATGCTGCTCAAATTGCTTGGCCTTGGCGCGGCGCGACTTGATCAGGATGCCATGTCCAGGACAATCGGAGTTCTCCGCATAACACTTGTCCCGACAGCAGATACGACACAGCCGAAACTCACACTTCGAGCCCAAAGGATTGGCACATTGTTCGCAATATTCCAAGTGTCTTTCACGTCGCAGCTGCAATTGTGCATCGGTTTTGATTGGGCGCCGCTGGCGACGACGCAGTTTCTTCATACGTTTGCGGGATATTTCATTGCCGGCATTGTCAAAGTATTGTCGCTTGGTGCGATTCGGATCGATGGCTTCCAGTTGCTTCTCGGCGATCTTCTGGCGATGCGATTCGGGCGAGGCGCGTATATAGGGCTGGCACAGCCAGGGCTGCAGCATTGGCAATTCACACACATTTAGCTCCATCTCCTCGGGCTCGTAGTCAAGTTCACCCTGTTGATACGGCTCGTATTTGGCCTGCACTCGGCGGACAACGCTATGGAACTGCTGCAATTGATTCGCCGTCGCCAGCTGTTCCCGCATCTCGGAATTCTCTCGTATGTTCATGCTGCAAGATGCCAGTACATATGTCAACAATTAATTCAAATCCAACGCTTTCTGATTACGAGGAAACCTGAACCTTGTGGAGGATAATAAATTGAAGGTTGGCACTTGACGGCTACCAGTAATAAACAAACTACAAACTATTTACAATTTTCAAGGACTGGGCGTGGCGGAAGTGGGCGGAGCATATGCCTTTGAAGGACATCGCCAAGAACCGACCAACCAAATTTTGTGGTTGTAGCCTTAGAATTGTGGCAGATATTTGGTCTTACCGATTTGCGATTTTATCGATTTCCTAGCATCCTAGTGGATGTAGCACTCCAATTTGTATATATTATACGGCAATCGGACAACATATATAACATATATATTTACTTATAGGTACAATCGGCTACTACTCACATGTGATGGAAGAGCTTGAAGAGATGGCCGCGTATATAGGAAGTGGGACACGGATACAGATCAACAAATTCCAAATATTCATTGGCCATTTGCCACACTGGAGGCGAGATGCCTTCAAATAGAGCAGGATTATGTAGATTACCCTCGGCAGTCATGACACCATCGACCCCCGTCTCCGTCAGACAACGATGCACATCCTCCACGCCCAATATATTGCCATTGGCAAGCATGGGTATCTTAATGTGCTCGCGCACATCTTTAATATAACTCCAATCGGCTATGCCGGTAAGTGGACCCTTCTGCTCACGTGTCCGGCCGTGAACGGTGAGCAGTTGACAGCCAGCGGCTTCCAGCATTTTGGCATACTCAATTGTCTTGGCCCGATCCTCGAAACGACGTATCTTACACGTAACCGGTATGGAGAGCTTCTCATGCAGCGTTCTCACTAAAAAACAGCAACGTTATTTATCATATATGTTTCATTGATTTTTGGGAACACACCAATTTGAGTTAGGAGTTCCCACTCGTCCTGCAGGAAGGCGCCATAATGTCCACGCTTTGCTATTGCCTGCGGACAGCCAAGATTTATGTCCACAGCATCGCAGTAATTCTGTGCCGCCAGCGCCGCTTCCAATATTTGTTGCGGATCATTGCCGCAGAACTGTATGATCAATGGTCGATCCTCGGGACACGTTTGCAACGCATCCTTGCGATACTTCGGATCGGTGGCAAACAGATTCGCATGATACATGGGCGAATAGCAGAGCTGGGCGCCATAGCGACGACACAGCATTCGCCAGGCCAACTCACTTTGATCCACCATTGGAGCAACCACATAACGCGGTGATCCCAAAACACGCTCGTAGAATTCATAGCCACACAGCTTTTTGCTGTTGGCTTCAACACTTTCGTTCACCATTGCCACCCGTTGCAGCTGCAATTTAAAAAGGAATTCAAATTAGAAATACGAATTATTAAATCAAAAATAGAAAATTGTAATCCTTATTTAAGGACAGCGTTTGTACAAGAATTTCGAGCGAAAATTGTGTTTACTATTAAAGCCATTATTTAAGCTGCATTGTTTAGATTATTATAGCAGGACTACAATTACCATTCTTATAAAACCTTTGATTAGAAAGTGCAATTCAAACCTATTTCGTAGTTGCCTATTAATAAAATTTGTATAATAATGAAACAGGCACCGATATTAAAAATCTTTTGACATTTGTCAAAAGTGGCAAATTATAAAAATTATTTAGGAGTTGAATATTAGCAAAAAGTTTTAATTGAAGTGTAGTGCTAATCCAGCCATGATTTAAACTACCGTTATGATTCGCATCGACCTTTGAAACGTTGTCAAGCATCGATAATTAATATCGATCGCATGAGTAATTAGCCCAAAACATACTCAAACTCAAACGCAGAGTTCAGAATTCTGTGTGACCGTTTGACATTTGACAAACTTGCGTAATGCTATTTGAAACTGTGAACCCAGTTCGTCAACCGCTAGGGAATACTTTCAGTCAAAGCACACCTGCTGAACTAGCTAATTAGCGACACATTAGCAAACAAAAGATAGAAAAAAAAAATAGGAAAAATAAAAAACAAAGCTGGGTGCGGCAGCTGAACGAATTTTTCATTAACTCAGAGCTGTGGGTGGGTGTTTTTTTCCACGAATTAGAGGATTTACTTTCAGCTTGCTACAATTACAAAATGTATGTTTCTGTGTTATGTATATATATAGATATATTATAGGCAGCCATTTCACTTTCCAAACACGCTGATTTCGCTTTCAAGCTGGGCGTAGAAAAGGCGCTTAAAGTCATTTGCCAACTAGCAGCCGCTGCTTGCAACAATGAAGCGCTAATTGAGTTACTCAAGTCGAGTTGCATGCGATTGCAACAAGCTACGCAGCTTAACGGATGTTTTTCTTCATTTCTTTTCAATTTGTGTTGGTTTTTCTCTTTTTTTTTTCTATTTTTTTTGATACCCATCACTAGGCATGACGTTAAAGTTAAGTATCTTAAACGGTTTAAAACTACTTATAAAGTGCGCTGGCGGAATGTGTGTGTTTTATTGCCCCACCCTTGATTTAGAGTACATCACACAGACAAACGTACAATAAAAGTTTTTTGCATTGAAAGTTTACTGACCGGAAATGGCATGCAATTTTATCAATGGCAAAGCTCGCAACGCCATTTGCAATTTATAGTAACGGTACTGCATGCCGTGCTGCTGTTGCTGCCGCTGCTTCTTCTTCTTCACTTGGCGCTTGTTAAAAAGTTGCTATTTTTACATTTCTGCTGACAATGCAAGGGATTTATTTAGCGCGTAATTAAAGTTGTAAATGTAGTGAAAAGTTTCTTGGGCAAAACTGTAAATTGCATAAGAAATAACTTTTCTTCTTTTTTTTTTGGTGTGCTGGGGTTGGGCGCTGTGGTGGGCGTGACACTGTGTTGCAAAGCCAGATGACAGATGTTGTGTCTGTGTCATAATTACAAGCAACTTTTGAGGCAAGGCAACTAGGGTGGCGGCAAGGCAAGCCGGCATTTTCTCTGCTGCACAAAAATGGGCATTTTGCAATTAAAAACTTTTACCAAAATGGCAGACATTGCCGGAAAGACAGCGAGAGAGAGAGAGAGAGAGAGAGAGAGAGAGAGAGAGAGAGAGAGAGAGAGAGGAAAGAATGCAATTGGAACAAGTCGAAACTTTTGAAAACAATGTTTGAAAAGGAACAGTCGAAGGAATAAGTTTTCGCGCTGTTTCCTTCCAACTTCAATGCTCTTTTGCTGCCAGCGAGATTTAGCTATCTTTAATTGCGTATCTCTTATTATTATTGAAATTGTTATTATTTTCTTTTTTTGTATATTCATTAGTTGTGAATGTGCTTATTAATATATTTGTGACTATGGTCAATATAAATACTTGTTGGGCTTTTTTAAGACAATCAACTAGCTGACTAACTTTTCTGTAGAGTAACAAAAGCATTGTAATTGTGCTGCAGCAACAAAGTGACAAAAAAGAACAAAAAAAAACAATGCTGTGAAATGCATTTTAGCTGTTAAGTAATTAGAAGACCGCAGATAAAGTCACCACAGCAAACTGTACTCGTAATAAAGCACAAGTTTTTCAGTGATGCCTTTCGATTTTAGATCCACTCAAAGTCTGTACACAAACAAACATGCTGTGCGGGCAGACAACCTAAAGATAATTAATAATTTCTGCACTAATTAAGATGAATCAGTATTAAATAGCGAGGAGCGTGCCAAGCTTTGCCAATCTGGCTTTCACTGCTAAAACACTACAAAAGATAACAAATAAACTATGCAGCCAACCAGACAACCCAGCCAATCCAGTCAACCATGGATCAACTAATGCTGTCCCTCTCTCTCCTCTCTGTCCCTCTCTCTCTCTCTCTCTCTCGTCCCTCTCTATCTCTCTCTCTTTCTCTCTCCCTCTCTTTCTCTCCAATGCTTTTAATGTTCTTCTTTTTTTATTGGGAACACTCAGAAAAATTATGCACGAGCATATTTTCATTCTATTATTTTTCATCTTACTATCTACTTTTAATTCATATTTTTAAATAATTTTATTATTATTATCTTATTTTTTAAATGACTGTATTACAATGAAATAATATAAAAAGAAATGTTGAGCAATTTGAAATTTTAAGTCGTTTTTCCATTCTAAGAAATTAAATTTATGGGTAATTTAATTTGAGAGAGAAAGTTTCCAATAATAGTTTGCGTTTCTAAGATTTAATTTCATGTTTCAAATTTTAAAACAAGAAGTGATTAATGATTTATTTATACAAAGGTACTTATTTTTTCTGAGTGTAGATATCAGCACGCACTTAACACATCAAATAATTTATTGTTGAGCATGGCACGTGTCCATTTGCCAATTTTAAAAATGATTTCACTGGCTAATCGTGGCGAGCCAATGCTGTTTACTTAATGCTCACTTCAGCCAGCACTTGTTAGTCTCATAAAAAGTACAAAAGGAAAACAGCGTAGAAAGATTGCTGAGTCATTTTTTCAATCACCATAAAAAACAGAAAAAAAGAAATGAGGAGAAATTATTGTGTCGGGAGCTGTAAAAAAGCGTGTTTTTTTTACAGCACAAAACGGTCAGAACCAACAAAATATATATATCGCTTTTGATTTACAACTGACTGACTGGAAACGTATAAAACAAATAATCGGATAATATACAAATTTTCCAAAATGAGCAAAGAAATTACTTGAAATTAGTTTGCTCGACTATTGTTGATCCTGTAACTAAGAAAATAACGTTTTTCTTTTATTAAATATCGAATTTATATTATAAAGTTGCATGGTTAATTTGATATATTTTTATATTTTTCAATTGAATGAAAAATACATTGAACAAAATAGAAGAAAAAACTGTTAAGCTAGTATCCTCTACAGTTGGTTACCCTGTAACAAATGAATAAGGTATTCAAAAATAAAACTAAATAATAACATAATCAATTTTATATGTTTAAACTGAAAATGTCTAATAAATTTGGTAGAATAATATAGAAGAGTAGTAGTAAAAATACACGGCAAAGTACACGGGAAATCGCTAATATCACTTTAAAAAACATTCTTTCAAAATACACAAACACTTTAATTGAATATGTTGGCTAGATAGAAGATACCCTGTAAATTATTGACTTTATGGGTGAAAGAAAAAAAGGGGTAAGTAGAACTTTCGATTTACGGATTAGTACATTATTTGATATAAAGTCAAATCGCAATTGCAGTTCTTTTAGCCAGTCAGCCAATTCTTTTAGCTGCTGTTTGCTTTTTCTCGTAGCCAACCACGCCCCAAATATTAAGGGCACTCCGAGCAGCGGAAGAGACTCAATAAAAAAAGTGCTCAGAAAAATGTGAATTAACTCGATTGCATTCAACGAAGCGACAAATCCCTTTTCAAGGCAAATGAATTATAAGCGACCAACTGCCGTTTCAACTCTGTGTGGGCGAGACTAAGATATATATATATATATATATATATGTATAGAAAGTTAGGCATCCTTTCTTACGACTCGGAGCCAAGTGCTGCCCACAATTGCCCGCAATTTGTAAATCGCAGCTGGTTTTTCTACTGCTGCTGCTGCGGCTGCTGCTGCTGTTTTTATTGTCCAAACTGTGTGTGTGTTTTTGCTCTCTGTATTTGAGTCGACCCCAAAAAGATGACGATGCCGGCGCCAAAATGTGACCTCATTTTGTGCCGCCACTGAATGAAAGCACTTACAAAACAGATGTATATATATATATATGTATATATGTGGTTTGCGTATTACGCATACGCCATGTGGCCAGGAACAGTGGAAAATTTGTACAGCCCCAGAGCAATGAAAGGCAATAACAAAGTGCAGCGAGCGCATATAAAGAGAAAACAACCAGCAAACAATTTTTGTTTTTGTTTTTGTTTTTTTTTCATTTTCATTTTACAATGCCTGCAAAACGCAATGACATTTCAAGTGCATCTGGCAGGGTGTTTTAGCCGGAAGGGTTGTGTGTGTGTTTGTGTGTGTGTGCTGGCCATTAAATGTAGGGAGCGGATAAGAAGGAAGGCCAACCTGCTTGCGTGCTACCACAAAAAAAAAAAAAAAAGAAAGAAGAAAAACATCAGCAAAAACAACAAGCGAAAACATTTCCATTATTTCATTTGTATTGCATTTACTTGCACGCAACTGGAAATTGCGTTTAACCTATTAAAGTGCGCGCACCCAAAGTGGATTAAGCTGCTCCGCTCCCCATATCGATATCAATGGAATTTCCATTTAATTCTTTTGAGTTTGTCCTCCTTTCTGTCAATTAATAGCCCATATAAATTACTTAGCAGCAAACTTGCTTTTGAGCAAGTAATTGAAAAGGGCCTTTGATTTTGCTAAGTTACTTTTGCATTGCATTACAATTGCAT